AATTCATCGTCTCCATCAGCTTCATACAAAATGGTGGCCCATCTATTTCAAGTCGTCTATTTCACTCTGAAATGGTTGACGCCATACAATCAGTTCTGTATATCGTCCACTAATTGAGTCACACTTTTTTCAGCCCTCATTTGCCTTGTGCCATTCATGCGTAACTTTCCCTGTCCACTGTTCATACCATTCCTACATTCACTTTTTCGCCCCACAGCTTTAAACTCGTTGGCTTGGCTCCTCTACGAGCCTCTTTTAAGGCTCTCATCGGCTCCAGCTCGTCTACTTTCAGTCAACCAGCAAGCCTGATTCCTGAGTCTGTATCATCCGTCGGACAGACCACTCTGCATCGTCCGCCTCCAACGGCCACTGGTTTCCAGCCTCTGGGTCACGAGCAGGCCTCCGGTCATATCGCATGTACCAACCATCACTGCCTCATTCCTCCGCCTCCTCCTGAAGGCACCGGCACCGACACCGCCAATGCCAATGAGTATTGTCTAGGCCTCGTGGAGTCTGAAGGGGATCTATCGGAAGCGCCTCCGTCCCCACCGCAACAAGTGTCTCCGTGCTCCGTGGAGATGCCGTGCCCACCTCCAATAGTGCCCCCATCAATGCATAATGGCCAGTTGACGTTTAGGCCTGATGCGAGCCCATCACTTGGTTGCAGGTCGGTTGCTGAGGCGCTGTCGTTGGTGGCACGCAATGCGATTCCCGGCAGTCCTGTACTGGGCGCAGCCAGGATGCTGGTTGAGATGCAGGAGTTTCGACACATGGACAGTGAATGTAGGTTCCATTTGTGGCAGTTGGCCTGATTGCATAAATGTGTTCCTTTTGCCTCGGTTACGGTTACAATTGAGCCTGAATTCGCTCGAGACGGGATGTTTAATTTAGGAGGCACTTTCACTTCCCAAATTATTAATATGAGATGTATTCACACTATTTCGTTTATGGTGATGAAGGACTGGTAGAAGTAGAATTTTCCCACAAATGATATGAGTTGAGCCGACTTTTTCATTCAATTTCACATAGCCTTGCTTTCCCAAAAGTTGTTCTCATCCCGGCTGGAGTGGACTGCAGT